CTGGGACTGGGTGTCAGGAGTAAGGCCCAGCAGCTGCTCCCGCTCGGGCTCCTGATAGCCTCATGGGAACAGGTGGGCTGAGTCAGCTAGCCCGCCTGATGGACCGCCCCACCCGATTGACGGAAGAAGCCAGCAGGCTTGCTCTTAAGCCCAGAAGCAGCAGCAGGAATTAAGCTGGCTGCTCAAAACATTTCCCACGGCTTCTGCCCTGCCCTCCCTCCCTCCCTCCAGATAACCTGGTTCTGATTCCCGACTTCTGACTCTGATTCCGATCCTGGGCTCTGACTCCAGCTGTGACCCTTGGTTCTGGCCTCTAACGCCAGCTGCTCTAACCACTAGGCATGACCGCCCATATATCCTGGTCCCTGACACTGGGCACTTGCTTTTAGAAGAGGGTGGGGGGGCATAAAAGAGACGACTGCAGGGAACTAGATGTCGGTGGATCCGGTGCCGGAAGGCGTATGACGCCCCTAAGACTTGGGTTCAGCACAGCCTAAGGCTGAGCAGGGCAGTGAGCTCAGGGCAGCTGTATGGGACTGAGGCAAAGTCATTCCTCGTCCAATGTGTGTGTCAGCAAGTACCGGCTGGGCTGTTGTTTCAGTGTGTCTGGGGGGTGCGTGGAGTTATGGGCTGGACGCTGCGTCTGGGTGTAGGCCAGGGGTAGGCAACCTATGGCACGCGCGCCGAAGGCGGCACGCGAGCTGATTTTCAGTGGCACTCACACTGCCCGGGTCCTGGCCACCGGTCTGGGGGGCTCTGTATTTTAATTTAATTTTAAATGAAGTTTCTTAAACATTTTAAAAACCTTATTTACGTTACATACCACAATAGTTTAGTTCTATATTATAGACGTATAGAAAGAGACCTTCTAAAAGCATTAAAATGTATGACTGACACGCGAAACCTTAAATCAGAGTGAATAAATGAAAACTCGGCACACCGCTTTGGAAAGGCTGCCGACCCCTGGTGTAGGCTGTGCCCACGGTTATGGGCTGGGCACTGCTCCAGGCTCTGGTGCACAATGGGCAGCCCCAGGGCTGAGGGCAGCTTGCTCGCTCGCAGATTGTGGCGAGCGGTGACTCCCCGTCCCTGTGATGCCGCTGATGAACCGTGGGCGTTCGACCGCTGGGGAGCGAAGCCATCCAGCGATTCCCAACCCCGTCTCGCCAGGCTGATGCAGCCCCGCAGCGAGAGCCCGGTCGACGTGGCTGGGTGTTCGAATGAAATGAATCAGCCGCTTAGGTGCAGCCAGTGAATCTGCGAGTGGGACGGGGTTAACCCCCCCGGCCGGGGCATAGCTGCAACCACTGGCCTGACTCCATCCTGTGGGCCTGGTGCTGTGCCGGGACATACGGTGCATGTGTCACAGCCCTGACAGCAGTGGCTTACAGGCCTGTTGTGCCTCCGGCCCGTGGCATAGGGCACGTCTGCAATTAGGGGCCTGATGGTGTTCCAGTAGGGTGACCAGACAGCAAGTGTGAAAAATCAGGACGGGAGTGGGGGGTAATAGGAGCCTATATAAGAAAAAGACCCAAAAATCGGGACTGTCCCTATAAAATCGGGACATCTGGTCACCCTATGTTCCAGGCTGGACGGGCTGCCCGCCACACTGAATGGGAGACCAGTGATAGCCCTGGCAGCGATCCAGGGGCTGGGTGCAGCTCGGGGTGGGCCCCATTCGGGAGGTTGGCCATGTTTCCAGCACACCAGCCGGCGTAGCACCCGCTCTGCTATCCCCGTGGCGAAGGGCTAGCCCTGGCCACGGCCGAGGAGCTGGCTCCGGGTGCGGAACGGCAACGGCCGGGCAGGACACTTACTCCCCGGGACGTCCATGGGCTTTGGGTCGGGCCCTTAGGGACGCGGCTCCATTTCCCCTTCCTCTCC